CCCCCCCCCCCCCCCCCCCTAAGGAAATCCGTGGCATAGGTGTCCAAGTTGGTGGTAGCAACGGGCACAAAATACGGTACAAAAGGCCACCCTTCTCCCCTCTGCTGTCCGTCCTCCCTTTGGCTTTCTTTTCCCCCCTCTCTCCCTCTCTCGAAGCACACTTATAAGAGTGCAACCCAACCCACTTTTTCATTTTTCTTTCTTCCACACTCTCCATCTATCCATCCATCCATCCATCACTGAACCAAGCAACCAAGTACACATTCATTGCACACCAACAAGCCCATCAACGACCATTCTCAAGAAGGTATCGGCGGGGATGATGGACCCCCCACCCGAGGAGATGCATGAATTGCATCGCATCTACACCCCTTCCGGCTCCAGCTCGTCTGCCTCCTCCATTTCCTCCTCCATGTCCTCCTCCGTGTCCTCCTCCGACCTGAACTCCAACGACATTGACATGAACAACCTCGAGCATAACAACATGAAAAAGCACGACGACAGTTTGGACCCGCCGCCAAGTTACAGCCCGTATCCCCCACCCCCTCAGACCAATTCTTCTTCCTCTCCCTCTCCTGCTCCTTCGAGTAGCAGTTCTCCTTCTTCTTCTCCTCCTCCCCCTCCCCTGACTAGTCCCCCTCCCTCAACCAATTCTTCTCCTTCTTCTCCTTCTACTTCTTCTTCTCCTCCTCCTGCATCAGCGGCAGCAGCTACCTCTACTGCTGCTAGTGGTAGTGGTAGTGGTAATACCCACCCCGCCGAGCCCGAGCATCGTCCTGCTCCCCAGTCATCTTCTTTCTCTCGGCAGAACTTGGCCACCGCCCTCTTCGGCTTTCTTCTCCTCCTGGTATTTGGATACCTCCTCATTGCGTATGTGGTGATTCCGGGGTGGAAGGAGGTGGTAGGGAAAGGGAAGGGGGGGATCGAGGAGGCCAAGATGAGGGGTGCACATGGTGCACATGGTTCGAGTGAGGTGAGTTACACATCCCCTTACCTACCTCTACCACCTGATAATAATGAAATGGGAAGGAGATACTAACATGACAAAGGCACAACCCCAATTCGACATGGACCAAAATAGTAGCACCGTACAAGTTCTTCCAATGGAACTTCGTTCTCTCAAATCAGCAGCAGCAGACGATAAAAACAACAACGATAACAAACTGAACGCGCGCGGCATGACCCCCACTCAGACAGACAAAACCTACCATGTCTCCAACAGACATGTAGTCCCGCAGTTGACGGGCACCGCAGTCCCCAAGGGAATCAGTGCCGAGGAACTAGTCAGTTACAAGCCGGCAGATTGGATGCAGGCAGCCAGTGGGTTTGAGGTTGTTCACCAGGATGGGGATACCACAACTTCCTCTTCTAACGATGGCGGATCAGCAGCAGCAGCCCTGAGAAGAAAAAGTCTTCAAGCGGGTGGTGTTGCTCGTTTGCGTCGTCGTAATCATCGTCGTGCTGCCCCTGAGCAGCCAGCAGCTGATGACATGGAACCAACAAAGTTGAAGCAACAAGATAAATTGTTCCAGCTTGGATCGGGTGGTTGGCTGACTTTGACTCCCACTGCTGCTGCTTCCCCTACTGGTGGAGGTCCGTCCGAGTCCGAGTCCGATCACCACCAGCAGCATCACGGTCTCGATAGCGACCTTAAGAAAAAGAAAGAAGAAGAAGAAGAGGCCAGCGAGCCGCGTGAAGAAATGGTGGAAGTTACCAAGACCAGGGTCAGAAGAACCATCCACCCAAAGATTCCGGTGCCAATCTCCGCTTTGCATCCCTCTACCTCTACTGCTGCTGCGGTGGACGATGTTTCCATGGACGGTGGAAGGCTGGGGCTGTTAACTACATGGCATGATCATTTGCTTGTTGTTCCTCCTTCCTTGACACCGGCAGCAACAGCAACAGCAAAGCCCGAGTCATCGTCATCGTCACCGGAGCAGCAACAGCAGCAGCAGCAGCAGCAGCAGCAGCAGCAGCAGAAAAAGTCACAAGCCATGGAGGATGCAGCAGCGCTACGGTTTGGACAGACTACCTCTATGGATGCACGTGATCAGCTTGTCAAGAGGGGTGGTGAGTCCTGGACTAAACCGAGGATCCCGATACCTGTAACTGTGAGTACCAAGGATGGGGCGGCGGCGGGGGCGGAGTCTACTCCTACTGCTGCCAATAGGGAGTCTACTACCTCCAAGAAGAGTTCTGTTGTTGCGGGTAATTTGGGAGGGGTAGGGGAGAAGTATGGGACAGGAGCACAAGCAGCGAAGGGAGGATTGCACGCAGATAACTCGAAGATGATGCAGAAGGGGGGCCAAGGTGTACCTCTTGCGGATGGGAGGGGGGTGAGTTCTTTCTCTTCGTTTTCCCCTTGCCCTTCTCTCCTTTTGTTTCTGCTTCTTCCTCTTCCCCTTTCTTCCTTCACCTTTTTTTTTTTTTTTTTTTTTTTTTTTGGCCCTTTCTTTTCCATGCATTTGCGTTCCCTTTTAATTGGGGAAGAAGAAGAAGAGGTTACTAACAAGTCATGCAACAAACAAACAGACCTACTATCCCCCTTACAGCAACAACAACAACAATAACAACAACTTTGTTCGCCGTCGTGATCGCGACCAGCAGTACCACGGCTGGCCTACACTCACACCCCTACCACCACAAGGGAAAAGTAGCACCAGCAGTAGCCGCGCAGGCGCAGGCGGCGGTGGCGGCGAGTGGGTGGTGGGAAATACACCACGAAGTAGTGGTGGTGGCATCCACACTCTCGGAGGTCCGGGCCGTTATTCTGCAGCTACTGCAGCTGCAGCTACTCGTCGCCCAGCGGTGACGGCGGCGACGGCGTCTGCTGTTACTCACGCTGGTACAGTAGTAGCTGCTGGTGGTGGTCATCAGTTGTATGGTGGTGCTGGTGCTGCCCCTGCTGAGTCGTCTTCTTCTTCTTCTTCTGCAAGTAAGCATGCTGCTGAGATGGTGATTCACAAGAACAACAAGCACACACCTCGACACGCCGCCGCCGCCGCTTCGTCGGCCTCTGCTGCCTCTGCTCCTTCTGCCTCTGGCACTGGCACTGCCATTTCTTCCACTGCGGCTTTGTCGCAGTCGCAGCAGCGCGGTGCTGGCCGTCTTGAGTACTGGCGATATGAAAAGAGCGAGGAGCGGGAGGAGGAGGAGGAGGAGGAAGACAGTAGCACCATTAAAGCCACTGCTGCTCCTACTACTACTGGTAACATCAAGAGTAAAGGTAAAGGAAAGGGCCACCAGGGACATGGACATGGAAGTTTCCACGCGCGCCGCTCCTCGCGACCTGCTGCACCTGTCGTAGGCGTCACTCATCATCATCTTGACTCGTGGGCAAACAACAACGGCGATGACGAGGTTGAGTATGGCAGCAACGCACTCATGAAACTCCCTCGCTCGGGTGTTGTTGAGACGGGCGGTCTGAGCACCACCACTGAAGAAGACACCACTGAAGGCTCCAACGCCGCCGGCGACGGGTCTTTGGATGAGGAAGAGGAGTCCGAGGATCAATCTCATCGCTTGTCGTCGTCGGAGTCACCTGAGGAAGTGGAGGAGGTTCATCACCACCGCGGTGGTGACTACAAGGCTTTGATTTCTTTGCATTATCCGAATCAAAAGGTCAAGGAATGGTGGAATCATTTAATCCGGGGACGGATTGGGGGCGGTGGGATTGATCATCATCATCGAAAGGGGCTGAAAGGTAGGGAGAAGAGGATGGTGAAGGAGACTGACACGACGGACACGGCGACAGTGGTGGGTTGTGACGAGAAGAAGAAAAAGAAGGGGATGAAGTGTGGTCTGGAGATTGTCGTCTCCAAGACGTCTGCGAACGGCAGCTCCGTCACAGCCACGGCTTCATTGACAGTCAAGGCCTCGCCCAAGTGGTGGACTCCTCATCCCCATTTGAAGACCACGAGCGCCGCCTCTGCTGCGTCTGCCTCTGCCGCCTCCGCTGCCTCTATCCTCTCCGCCACTCCCACTCCTGCCACCCCCTCTTTCTCTCCCAGCCCAACAACTCCCACTCCCACTCCCACTCTCACCCTCATTGCTGCTGCTGCTCCTCTCGCCGGCGGCGCCGGCGCCAACACCAAATTACCCGGAACTACCCTCATTTCCTCCTCCCTCCCCGCCGCCGAAAACAACAGTAACCTTCCAGGGACTCCCACCACCCTTCGCAACAACACCCCCAATCCCAACCCCAACAACCCCAACGCCCCAAAACCCCAATTCCCCCAAAAGAAAAACCGCGCCGTCCCACCCGACTACAACGACCCCCACCGCGAAGACATCGTCGTCCCAGGCATTCTGGAAATCCACCTCACCCCCGAGGAAGCCAAGCCGGAGATCATGAACGCCAAGTACGACTACTGGGAGTTTATCGCGCCGCCCGATCTTTACTATGTCTCGGACCAGGATTCGCCTATGAATCCGTACGGGCGGGGCGAGAGGAGGAGGAGGCTGGTGGACACTACTAGAGGTACCTTAACTTCGACCGTGGAAGACAACAACAAAAGAGCGGAGGACGATGTAGGAAGAGAAGGAAGGGAGGAAAGAGGAAGGGAAGTAAGGGGACATGAAAGGGAAGAAAGAGGAGAAAGAGAAGAAAGAGGAGGAGAAGAAGAAGCAGGGGCAGGGGTAGGGAAAAAAACATGAAAGGAGAGCAGCTGCGCAAGCACAATGAGAGGGATGAAGATCATTGGGTGTGATGATTGTTCCTAGAACGGGAGGTCGGACGGGGCGGTGGATGTAGCGGGGGTGTAAAAGAGGAGGGGCAGGGGCAGGATGGGTTGAGGATTGAAGGGTGTGTGATATTTGGTTCCTGGCGGAGGTGGAGGGGTATCCTGAGAGGGGGGTTATAGGATTGTGATGTTGTGATGGGAGGGGGAGGGGGAGGGGGTAGGTGGTAGTAAAAATCGCTTGTACAAGTTTGTATGTCTTTTGGTAGTGAACCTGCACAAGAGACTTTTACTGGCACCTGGGGGAAAGAGGGGAAGGGAGAAAGGGGGAGAAGGGGTGAAGGGGAGAAGGGGGGAAGGAGTGGACGTTTCTTGTCGTTCCCTTTGTCTGGAGTTTGGAGTTGATCTTATTGAGGGAGGGAGGTAGGTTGGTGAGGTGTCGGTAGAGTATGCGAGGAGGGACAAGAAACGAAATGCAAGAAAAAAAACACATGGACGAGGATTTTTGCGGGACTTTGCTATGGCGTTTTTGATTCTTTTCACGGAGTCGAGGAATTTGAAAATAGGAAGCGAAAATGGAAAGCGATGAAGGTGCAAGATTAGGTATGAACGGGAGAGGATGAAGAAAGGGGGATATATGATGGAAATGTCAGAAAATTCAGTAGAAGAAAAAAAGGAGAGACGGAGGAGGAAGAAGGGGAGGAGAAGGGGGGGTTTGCACGACCTGTTACTACAGTCAAATCAGTCAATGTGATATTCCATCTCAAGATTGTCGAGGTGGTCAAGAAACGATATGGGACCTAATTGAGCTGGTGTTAGAGCAGAGGGTAGGTAGAGAATGTAAAGGTTTCTGTGTGAATCTAGGTACCTACGAATCTGATACGTCATGATGTGAAACCTTGTACTACTTGTACGTATGTGATATATTTGAGGTCTTGCAAAAGAACGAGGACGGTTTTCCAAGTGTTCCGCGTCTTGGGAAGGTACACTACCTAGCGTAGATATATTGTGTGATCGTGGCCGTGGACATCGAGCATCGGCGACCGGAGATGTGTCTGCGCAAGTCGCAACTTGTGATGTTGGCGAGGACAGAGACAAGCAAAGACCGTGCTGGCATGATCTGTTGCTGGATAAGTCGGGTAGGTAGTTTTGCAAAGCGGAGATGGTTTGTCTAGCAAAATTTCTGGTCGTCGGCGACTGGAGTTGGATGTTGTTGTTGGATGTTGAACCAGGACGTTGACCGATGTCGATGTCGAGGGAGGTCGGCAGGTTGGATTGTTGGAAGGTCGGGAGGTCGGGAGGTGCCACGGACACCGGAGCGGGGCCAACATAAGCGATGCACTGACAATTCGATAGCGTGAGGTCTCCCCCATTCCTCTTCGATATGAGACGTGACCTCTGCATTTGAAGCTGCCTGATAAGTCGATTTCAATGTGAGAACAGTTTTAATATAAACCAGCACATTGAAGTCTTACGAAGCATCTCATTTAGTCTCCTAACGCTGTTTCCGCGATGTTAGCGGAATTGATGCGGCTGAGAACTGTCAGGGGATATTGTTAGTGGAATGTTCCGCCTTCCCATTGCGCGGCCACTCCACTGCGAGCGTCCGGGCTGATATCGGATCTACTTTGTTGGTGAAAGACACTTTGGCTTACAACGAGTAACCATCAAAGTCGGCAGATTATCAAAGCTACAGTCGATAGACTGAACCTATTGAATATTGTGCGGCTTGTTTGTTGATCATATTCAGGATCAAAGAATTGAAAAACGACGGGTACTGCAAGTGTCAAATGTCGCTTTTGTTAGCGGCCGCTGTACGCTAAGCTTCCTTTGCGTTCATTCCCTGTCCTCCTCCCAGTTCTCCTAGCTATCTAACATGTCTTGATTCGACCTCCAATCGCCTTGACATGAACAGAACGGAGAGATTAGACAGTTAATGATATGGCGTTTAGTTTAGCAAATATCCAAACATAGATACCTACTCAATGAAATATGAATGGCTTGGAAAACTGCCTCTACAGTACAGGTCCTAATTCAGACCGGACTCTGAACAGATAAAAGGGTAACATAATCCATCCTTGATCCCTCTGGTCCATCTCCCCATTTGCTCCCCAATCCCTTCCGTCTGTAATTCTCACTTCCAACTTTGTGAAATTCCTGAAGCTTTCCCAGCTGGAAATCCCAGAGTTCCCATGTTCTTGGACTGAGGTACATATGTAAGGTAGGTAGCTGTACGCAGTTACACGTACATATGCAGTGTAGTGCACGCATTAGTGTCCTTCCAGAGTTCCAATACCATGCCGTACCAAGGCTGGTCAGCCTATTTTTAGGTGACCTGGGGTTACACCCACCCACCCGCACTTGTGATTCCGAACTTCAGAGATCCCCAGACTTGGCGAGAGTGTGGTTGGGTCCTTTGGGGGTCGAACTGGTAGGCAGAGGATGGACGGCCTTGAGAGCTTTTTGGACGTCTATCAATGTGAGCTGAAAGCGGAGCCAAGAAGACGGGGTTTATATGGAATTATTGGGTGATATGGAAAGCAAAGCGGAGGAAGTCTTTGCTTGACTGGAGACATCTGTTCACGAACCCGTCGTTGACTTCACGGGTGTTCGCTTTCGTCACGCAAGTTTCCATGGGTCACCGATCGAGATGATCATAAACCTCATGCCCGTCCCAAAAGCCAAAGCATGGAAATACATGAACGGCAAGCCCGAAGCCACGAAAGCGGCTGAACACTCAAGCCCGCAAAAACCGACGACCACGTTTGATGATAGCGGCCAGCTACTTACAAGCAAAACGATGAAGGCCTGGAAGAGTCTTTCAATTATTCTACGGCTCATGCTATGGTCAGCCCTCGTGGCCATTACATCCATGTTTCCGTATGTGAGTTTGTATTCATCACCCAATCACGAGCGTCGTAGCCCGTCCCATTTACCCGGCTTGTAATACACTGGAACACCATCACATTCCTTTCCTTTTCTTGTTCGATGTTCCATGTTCTATTCCGCCTTTGATATTGTGGATGTTGCCTCAGACATCATCCATTCGGTACCAGGTATCACACAAGTTTCGATCCAGGTTCATTTAAGTTGAATGCGGAACGTAACGACACTGTCAACTGGCCCTTTGTAGGTACTTAACAGTTTCCAAAAATTGCATTCACGTTGCACTCTGATGACCATAAAGACATGTCAACATAAATGTCGAATAAAGGAAGAAAGCTTGACTTTCAAGAAACCCGGATCACCGACCGCCGAACGTCTGCCCAACCAACACGAGGCCGTACGACAACGGACTGTACTTCTGACACAATTTCTGGCATCCCACCTACTTTCCGTCCTTTACATATTTCACAATCTTAGATACCGCCGCACTATTATTGAACGGGAAAAGCAGACAGAGATAGATGCCTTTGTCAATGGGTAGGTATGAAGATGTGAGAGAAGACTTGACCACTAGAGCAACGTCAAGGCTCGTGCCAGTGATGCCGATTGTCACTGTGCTGGATTCAAACTGCATGTCCCGCTGAGTTGGGACTAGACGTTGGGCGTCGAGGGAATACTTGAATGATTCGGCTCTTGTCAAACACATCGATTCTGTACTCCCGTCAGTCCACAACCATCCAGTCAAAAACACAACAGAGATTGACCCAAGATCACCACAGTCCTTCAACACTTACGATATTAACCACCACAAACCCCAACCTCAACAAAATGCCGACCCTTTGTCTTCTCCTCCTCCTCCTCTTCTCCACCATATTTACGTCTCCCGCCTTCTCCTCAGCCATCAACCTCCCTTCTTCTCACCAATCTCTCTCCTCCAACTCCTCCGACTCCTCCGAAACGACAACAACCACCACCTCCACCGCTCCCACATCACCACTCGACAACACAAGGGGCATCATCCCAACCCCACCCACCATCCCCTCCCATCCTCCTGGAACCGACCCCTCCTACGAATCCACCGACATCCACCTCGACTCCCCAACCCAAACCTCCAGCTCCGAACCCAGCTCCGAACCCAGCTCCTTCCAACCCAGCGAGATTTTTCCCCCTCCTCCCTCCGCCCCTGTACCACTACCCTAACCGCCACCACCAGCACCAACAATAACCGCCCATGCCCCCCACCCAACTGGGACGGCACCTTGACTTCCTACCCATCCACCACCACGCTACTCAAACCCATCAACTGCCATGGGTGCATGTACGTAAGTGTCACCAAGGAGTGGGCGGTCGGATGTCCGAATCAGCATGTTAGTGCTACTGTGTTAGCGACGACGGCGAGCACGACGTGGAGGGAGGTGTGTGAGGGGTTTGCTATGCCGACCTTCATGCCTACGGGTACACTTTGACGTCGGGACTTACCTACTTTGACGTCGGGACTTACCTACCTACCTACTTTGACGCCGGGAAGGAGTGCAGGGGAGGGGAGGGGGGTTTGAGATGAGGGGGGCATGGGTGGGAGGGGGGCATGAGAGCTAACCAAAGCTTGGAGGTAAAGGGGGAAGAGGGGGTGTTGAGTGATGGCCGGCAGAGGTGTGGGGATTTGATGTGTGGCCATCGATGTGATGAAGGACGGCGTGCACTGGGGACAGGATTGTTGACTGGACTGCTGAAAAGGTTGAAAGGACAAGGACATGAACAAGAAGAAGTAAAGGTTGGAGATAAGGTCGGGTATGCACGGCTTGTAGGTTGGTGTTACCTAGGTAAGGACAGTGATAGCATCGCAGAGACACAGAAGGAAATCGGGTATTGGATTGGATGTGACGTCGACGTTCCACGGCTTACAGTCGAGCGAGCCTGACGGAAGGTTACCTACCTACCTAGGTTTCATTTGTGGAACTCCTCCAGAGTCCAGAGTGATGCCTCAGTAGAGGTATTTCCGGACAGCCTTACAGGACTCTTGGGATGATCCTATCTCTTGCCTGTATGTATAAGGGTAGCCGAGCCGCCCGCGGTCGCAAGTACTGAATGCAGCGTTGAAAGCGGGATCACCTCCCCCGTCTTGATGGTCGGTACCCTCTAGTGTGTGGAGGAGGTAGGTATCTTGAAGCAACCGACAATCGCCACCACCTTCTCCTCGCCTCGTCAACAGCCCGGTCTGTGAATTTGCTTAGTTTAGACTAAAAACCCGTCTACATGTTGTAAAGATCATTATAGCGTGGGTCCCAAACGTAAATTACATCCCAGTGTTCCCGTCCCTCAAACCAGTCTGATGGAAGAAAAGGCACAAAGGGCTGCATAGTATTAGGATCGATGTAGGCACCAGCGTGCCTGTAGTCCCTGGTCCACTGTTCCTCGCATATGGCGTCATTTTCGACCGTGTTCACCATCAGCGCTGGAAACAAGTCAAGTCAAGTCAAGTAGGGGATTTCAACTTGATTGAGTGGATCAAGTAGAGAATCGTACTTACTTACTTGCTTACTTGATTAAGTTAATTAAGTCGTAAAATCGTGATTTTGAGTGCTTTTGAACGCTGCTTTTATTCTCTTCTTATATATAACCTCCCTAGAGCTTCTCTCCCTTTACCTTATCTTTATCCTTATTTCTACCCTCCTTCTTATCGTCGTCATCGTTATTATTGTCGTCGATAATTAGTTATTTCTATCAAGGTTGCTAGATAGTTAAAACTTTACAGTCTTAATAAGGTTAATAGATTTAGCTACTAGATTCTATTTTTAGTTCGTAATAGTTAATTCAGTACTATTAAAAGAGCGTTTATAGTTATTTACTATTGAGGGTATAGAGTAGAGATTAAATGTTATATATAATAAGCGGAGGTAAATATTTTTATTTACCCTCTATTATACTAAAGGATTATTAACCATATATATTTTGCCATTAATGTAATAGTCTAATTTATCCTCTTGCTTTAGTTTTGAAAGGAGGGTATTATAGAAATTGTAGTCGATAAACTAGTCCTTATTAGCCTGCCTTGCTTATTAATTATTAGTATTAGCTAGCGGGTTATTGATTAGTTAGTTAATATAATTAATATTGTATATAATTGTAAATATGCTAATAATATTTTTATACTCCTTATTATTAAAATACTTCGCTACTTATCTAAATTAGTAAATAGGGTAAAGGCTAGTACAAATTTATTAAGTAGGGTTCTCCTCTATTAAATCCTTATATTTTCCTAGCTTTTTAATAACCCTATTAAGTATTAGACTGATATATTCTATACCTTCATTAGTTATATCGTTTTCATAGTTAATAAGAGGAGGCGTATTATTTTGAATTACTATAAAGAATAATAAAGGGTTTAATTGGGAGGTGGAAGTACGCGTGTGACATTATGGTTGAGTATTGATTATAATATTAGATTTTAGGATATTAGGGCCCTCAAAGGTATTAAAAGCGAGTTTACTACTAAATTGAGTACGCTTCTCTTTAAGTATTTTAATAAGGCAGTAAAGATTAGGGATAATAATTGAAGAGAGTAGTCTATAAGTTTTAAACTTCTTACTAAGATTCTTGAAATAATATATTATATTTATAATAGAGGTAAGAATCCCTTAATTGTTATTATTAACTAATCTTCCTTAGGAAATCGCTTCAAAATATTAGGATAATTAATAGTCTTATTAATATAATAGTCAATATACTTCTTTAATTTCTAAGCGTACTATATTATATGGTAATTTAAATTCTAGTGAATCATATTATTAAAAATTATATTAATAGTTCGAGAGTGCTCATCTTTATTTATATATAGATTTAAAGAGGTAGGGAGGTTATTATTGATATTAGAGTAATAACTAAACTAAATAATCTTTTGAAATTTAGCGCGCCGTTAGAGGCTTTGGCAGATGAATTATATAATATTATAAAGTTTGCTAATTAGTCCCTATTAGTGCTACTCCCGGATAATAGTATCCTTTGATATAGTAAATAAGTAAGTAAATAAATTATTAATTTTGGAGAGGATAAATTATTTAGGCTTTATTACTGCCTTTACTCCTAAATTTAAAATATAACTAAAGTATCTAAGGTAATAATAAAGTAGTTTACCCTCTACCTCCCCCTATAAGAATATAGGGGATAATCCTTTAATAATATAGGTAATATAGTGATCGTTAGAATCGATATTATTGTACTAGAAGTAACCAACTTCCTCTATTTTGATTTCGTACGTATTTAGAATGCGGAAAATAATAGTAATAATATTCTTATTACTATAATTGCTGTATATTTTAAATAAATCTATAAAATTGTTTTTAAGTATTTTAGTAGTTTTAATATAATAAAAGAAGATCGAGAAGATGGTAAGGCTATTGGGAGAGGTTTAGAATTAAAAGAGATATGCTTTTGAAAGTGGGATTTAGTAAAACGAGTTTTAAAATATTTGAAATAATACGTATATTTATTCTTAATTTAAACCCTTAGTATATAATGTAATTCTAATAGTAATTTGTTAATTATATTACAGTTTATTAATAATAAGAGGGATTGAAATATTTTATTTTTAATAAATAGGAAGGGGAATTGCGTGTTAATTATTATATTTACTACTAATTTGAGAAAAGTTTTACTAACTAGTTTAATAATAAGGGTATTTAATGAAGTAAGTTATTTAGCAACCGATTTTACCTTTTTAAATTTTGGTTAGCTTGTAGCATTATTGCTAAAAGGCTCTTTAATAGAATAAGTGCAGCGGAGGTAAATGAAGGCCGAGGTAGTAGTAAATAAAGAGTAGATTTTTTAGTAAAAATTATAGTACTAGTAATTGTTAAATTCGTTATTACTTGATATTTTAATTAAGTATATATTATATTCGCTAATTTAGGAAGTTCTTTTGGAATGTTTAATTAGTTAGTTTTCTAAAATATATTATTCCCTATTCTAAGTTATTTTAAGTATATTGCTAATATTCTTAAGTAAGTTATTAGGATAGATAGTTTCCATAATTTCGATTTATTACGCAAGGGGGATATAGCGTTTCCTTTTGAGGATATCGATCGTAGTAACAAAGGTGGACATATTATTGAGAGAGACGTTCAGTATAATAATTGTAATAGAGGAGGTTTTATAATTTTTAACAATGGGTATTTTAGTAACGAATAGCGAGGGCGTTAATAATATTAAGTAGAGGTTAGTATTGGTTCGCGATAAAGGAGGGGATAAGGGGGAGGAGTTTAATAGGTATTGTGAGCGATTTAATTAGATTGAGTGATTGATTTAAATAGTTGGCGATATAATTTTAAAATATTATTAGAATTATAGCAGTTTAAAATACTAAAAATTTCGAAATGGGGGGGGTCTGAGCGCTAGGTAACTAGGCTGGCACCTGTGTATGGCCTTGGCAGTTGGGGGTGGCCCGATGGTTACTATTATTATGGGTTGAGATTTATAGGTTTTATTTACTTAAACACTAATTCTAAGATTCTACTAGTCAGTTAAGTAAAGTTAAGTAAGTTAGGGATCCCTATTTACTTACTTGAGTAGTAGGGAGACCTTGATTTACTTACTTGAACTTACTTATTTACTTGAACTTGGCTTGGCAACTTGACTTATCTCCAGCGCTGTTCACTATCCGACCACCACCGTCATTATTCGGATCAATGAGCCAGAACTGGTCTTTGTCGCACGGGACACAGCATTGTTCATACGTGGCTTCCCAATCGCTAGCTCCGCGGGGGGCCTAGACAAAACGGCGAAAATCTCTTTTGCATTGATGACTTTCCCCAAGACTATGGATTCATGGGGGTATCACCCCTCCCCGAGACTCTGTCCCGCGCGGATTTCCATCGCTTGAAGTCCCAAAATGGGATGCAAAGTATAGGAAAGGAGTGTCCCCGGTGTCGACCACGTCCACATCGAAATTGACCCAGATGTAACGCGATTCCGCCTGCAGACCTCCCAGCTCCAGCCGGTCCTCAGGTGTCTCGCATCTCGCCGTTTCCGAGGCTGATACCACAGCGGGTGGGTGACTGAAGGCCTTTTGATAGAATCGGTATCTTCCCTTGGTCACGGAGCTGAGGTGGCTCCGGGCCTCTCGACAGGCTTGTAAAGGTGCAGGCACGGGGGTGGATGACCGCGAACGAAGGGGACCGAGCCTTGAATGGTTGTATTTGGCTTTGACATCGTTGCTAACGTCCTCCCACTCGTGGGAGATACGGACGTCAACCGTGCGAGGCTCGATAGTTAGTTCCCATATCCGGGACCGAATTTCCCACGGGAGATGGGGGAAGAGGTGGAAGGAAGTGGCCATGGTAGGTATGGTTAGGGCTGCTGTTGATATTTCTGGAAGTATGGAGTTTCTGATGGCCGCACCGAGCTTTTATTGTTGTTGATGTTGTAAATCTTTGGCGTAGACAGGAATCTGGAACAAGTGGCCATGGAAAATCATGTGGTGTTGAGTCTTACATAAGACCTCGATGAATGGTGAGATGATGGAGCCGAGTTGCCCGAACAGGCTTAGGGTCATGGTCAGGGGAGTTTGGTAGTGTACGCGTATATCTGCACTCAGCTCTATACGCCTCAGATTGAGGAGACCCATGAAGAGAATGTTGGAGACTGGGACGGGTAACCTTGGCGGCATACCGCGCGGATTATCGTGGACAAAAAGGGTAGTTGGGCGTCGGTCAAGGAGACGGAGGGAAATCAGATATAGGAATTGATGTGGCATCTGGCAATTGGAAGCGGAGTGATGATTGATGATGGTGACGTGGCTAGTCAGGATCCAACCTCGTGGATAGCAATCTGTCCAAATGTGATTTTGTTGAGAGAAGATTGACTACGATCAACTGTTCAACTTACTGTCACCCTGAGAGCGTCGGTAAGGAATGTGCTTTCACGACATAGGCCGTAACGAAATGAGCGGTGATTGTGTTGTGGGATTGATGGTGAAGGAAGAGACGTGTCGGGGAGAGAACTGGAAGCGGGATATCGAAATAATCGGACGTGGCCAACCGGAGTAGCTTGCAGACAGTTGTCCATCAAATGGTGGCAGGCGCTGACATATTCCATGGGCTCCAGTGTCCTTTGTACCTGCTTGACTTCCACTTTGGCAAGGCTGAGAACCGAAACAACCTGAATACCTGAGACGGAAGATGGCAAGTACTACAGAGCCATTGTGCCTATCCAATTCTGTGCCTCCTCGCATGATAATCCATTTGGGATTCCGCAAGTTACTATGATTGTGTCGAAGCCGGGATAAATACGTATGCTGAAGTTCCCAACCACATCGCCACATCGAAGAGGGCATCAACAACAACAGTGTGTGGACATGATCTTGTTCCCCCGAATATATATGAGGCTCCAGGGAGAGCTGGTAGAGATGTAGGCAGCGAGAAGACGTTCCGGCAGAGCCTCAAACGTAAGCCCTCTCAAACGACTTCAAAACAGCAACGAGGCACGTTGACACTCATCCATGGTCCCTCGCTAGTTGCCCGCCTGCCTCCCCTTGTCCTTTCTCTTCAAACCTTGAAAGTCGACCCAATCTCCCCACTCTTCACATTACTGAACTTGACCTCTGTCCAGCTCGCATCTCTCTGGATATCATCTGCATGCCCTTCCTCTGGCAGACACGGGCCCCTTTCTGTCCCAGGCTGTGTCTCCGGATCAGCACCGGAAGGGAACGTCCCATCCAACCACTTCATCGCGCTTCCCGCATCATGCCACACGCTGAAAACCAGAACCATGCCCCGATGCAGCGCCTCGCCCATCTGTCGCAGTCCGCCCTGGTTGGCAAACGCGTTGACTCCTCCAAAGATCTGCTTGTTCTTGGCGCAATAATCGTCGGTGATGGTATCGCTCGTTGAATCGAACCCAGGCACGACGATGGTGGAAGTGCTGATCAGTTTGCCATCCTGGAGGTACAGCCGCTTAATGGCCGACAATTCCTTCTCCCCGGCGCTCGTCGTGTTGCTGAAGAACTGAGTGACCACGGTGAAAGGGCGCGTGGTGTCGACTTTGTTGCCCTCGCCGCGACCGTAGTAAGGGTGGTCACCGAGGCGGTAGGGGTTGTAGTCGCAGCCGTCCTTGTCGCAGACGGATTGGTACTTGTCGGTATGACCGCAGAGAGCGCCGGAGCACTTGTAGAGCGCAGTGACGTTGCAGGGATGAGGAGTGAAGGCGGTGGCGCGGGAATTGGCTTCCCAGATGTCCATTTCGTTGCAGCAGGCGCCGCAAGATTCGAGGTTGGCCTGGATGTGGGTTAGGACTAGGACCAAGCGAGCCTGTCTTGCGGGAGGCACTGAGGATAAAAGCAGAAAAGGAGAACATACCTCGCCGTTGATGAAGGCTGGAGTAGGGCACTGGGCATCACAGTAGCCCGTGCCATAGCTTGCGCCGGCTGGGTTCAGCGAGCTCTTGCCTCCGTTGGCGAGCATCTCACTGAAGTAAAGAGCTCCATTGGTGCCACATGGGAGCTTGCTGACGTCCACATCAAAGGTAAACTCTTTGTCTAGGAGCGAGAACATGTCGTAGGTCGTCCCGTTGGCAAGGAGGTAGACTCGCGGGGAAACAAGACTGGTGGTCCCATCGGTCCGGTTGACAAAGAGGTTCAGGGTAAGCTCGCTACCATTGGTGTGAATCCCAGATCCAGTGTAGTCGACGCCCTCGAGGTTACAGTTGGCAGCACATGTCTCGGCGTCGGGACATACGGCTGGGTTGAGACCGTTGGTCTTGCAGTTGGTGTAGTCGTCCGTGTGTACCCATCTGTAGTCAGAGTCGAGGACCAAGGATGTGTCCTTCTGGATACAGCCGTCGGAAACAGTACACGCCCATGTTGGAAGTTTGGGATGAACTTCGGGTGTCAGTTTGCCTGGCTGTTGAGCGGACACGGCGGTGACCAGTAAGGCCGACAAGAGAATCCTTCGTGACATGATCTTGGGGCAGGAACAGAACAAAGCTCCCTTTGCTTGAGATGGAAGACATGTCGGAGAAGCACATGGCGAGGCCGGTTTATATCGCAAACGCGGACTTTTAGAGGATGTTTCCAATCTTCTTCATCTTGGCCCTTTGCGATCCCTCATGTTTCTTTCACGCGAATATGCCGACAAAGACGCCGACAGTCGGCAGCAGAGACCCGGTACCGATGTGCTGCCATAGTATCCCGCTGCTCTGTATCCCGTCCTACTCTCAATGTATTCCTTGGCGTACAATAGTTATCGCGGTCGTATTCCATTTATGGCACCGCGGGTTCCTGGAGGATTGACCCCCCGATTTTTGGGTGATGATTGCCATGTTTGGTTCTCGGGTGGATAAATCGGAGGATAAAAGCAAACGGGATACTTGCTGCCGTGAGCCGTCCTGGAACCAGTCAAGCCGTCTTTATGCTAATTGCCTTATGCGTGCGGAGCGAATGACTCTTGATTCTGGAGCGCCATTCTTTGAAAGCTATGGTTCAACGTCGTGCCAAGCTGTCAAAGTTGGGAAAATGTGATGATGCGGGGAAAGAAGATCCGGGTTTGAGCCCCGAGGACGGAGATCATTCTACTTGCGGGGGAGCCTGAACGGCGCCAGGTGGGGCCGTGTCCGCCCTGGAAGCGGAACTTTCAAGCCTCACTTTCTCCAACCGTCTACCGTCAGCCACAAAGTACGTACCTGTGGCGCTTACAGTTCGAAATCCCATAAGCGATTACGTTATCACCGCTTTCCCAACTTGGCTCTGGTCGTCGGCGAAGACTCACCAATTCCGATGTTTACCATTGACATCATCATACAACTACAAAACACGGCGACTTTTTGAACAGCCAACTGTTGGCATTTTACATGATTCAAAACCAACAATAACACTCCCGATCGCCCATTTTGCCGCCCATCAATCACAAACAGACCCGCCGGAACCAATGTCGCAACAACAGCTCTCCCGGCTCCTCCCTCTGCCGGACGAAGACCTCAAGCAGGTCCTAGATTACGCCTCGACGCTCTCCAAGACCGAAGCCATTGACCACTTTACAAACCTCCTTGGTGACTCTCCTGCCGTCATCGACTTTATTTCTACTTTCAACGCACGTCGCGCCGACCCAAAAGCGCCGCCAGCCCCGTCTTCTGCCGCCCGAACACCGTCAGCACCCAGCTCAGCACAGAACTCGGCTCCCAATTCAGATATCGATCGAGTCCCGAAGCCCCAGCGCAAACCAAAGAAGAAGCAGGGACCATTACAAGCCCAACCTTCTCGTCAAGTCACAAATTTTGCTCTCGCGCCCGGGACGAAGGCTTACAACAAGAAGGATGCGGATCTCGAATACATCTCGGCCAGGTCCAAGCCGACAACACCATCGAACGAGCAAGCCGGAGGGCCGAGCAAACCGCCACCACCGCCCAAATCTACTGCACAACCCGCCCAGCCGACCCCAAAACTACCACCATCCGCCCATGGCACATTGATCTCCGACTTGGGCAAACCAAAGCCCAAATCAAATCCCGTTTCCCGCACCTCGACACCCGGCCCAAGCAGCAACGGCAAGAACAACGCCACCAAGATTTCCATCGCCGGCGGTACTCCCATGCACGGCGCCTCCACCGCCCTCTCCGACCTCGACGACGCCATCCGCCAACTCGAAATCACCACCAACCCCACACACACCTCCAACTCATCCTCAGGCATCGCCTCTCGTCGGTGCAACTGCGTCGCGGCGCGCCATCCTTTGCTCGCTGCGGCACCCAACTGCCTCAACTGCGGCAAAGTCATTTGCGTCAAAGAAGGTCTAGGCCCCTGCACCTTCTGCAGCCACCCTTTGCTCTCCCCCTCCGAGATCCAACAAATGATCAAAGAACTCAAAGCCGAGCGCGGCCGCGAGAAAATGGCTGCCGACCGCGCAGCCAACAAGAAGGCTGATGTAGGCGGTGTCCCGAAACCATTTGCTCGACCGAGGGGGTACGGTGATGAGTACGAGGATGCGCCTACGTTGCAGGAAGCGGCGGCGAAACAACAAGCTCAACAGGCGCAAGCAACACAATCAGCAAAGCAAAGAGCTATCGAGCAGCGCGACAAGCTGTTGAACTTCCAAGCTGAAAACGCGCAAAGAACGACGGTCAGAGACGAAGCGGCGGACTTTGATGTCACGGCAATGGGAGGAAGCATGTGGGCTTCCCCTGAAGAAAGGGCGCTGGCGCTCAAGAAGCAGCAGAAGCTGATGAGGGAGATGGAGTGGAATGCTCGCCCAGAGTATGAAAAGAGGCAGCAGGTGGTTAGTATTGATTTGGTGGGCAAGAAGGTGCTTAGGAAAGTGACCAAGGTGGAGAGACCTGTCACTCCAGATTCTGAACCCGACGAAAATGCTGGGCCCGGGGAGTATCATGTTGCGTCGTCGAGGACGAGTGGTGGTGGTGCGTTTAGCAAGAATCCCTTGTTGGGAGGCATGATTAAGCCTGTTTATGAACCACCGGCAGATTTGAAAGAAAAGGGGGCCGCCGAGTTGGAAGGGAGGAGGGATAAGAGTACAAGGTGGAGGAGGGTGCAGGATGATCGGGATGATAACGAGGCCGTCATTTTGGATGGGGGCATTTATGGAAGGAGTCAGGAAGTAGCGACGGATGCGATGGGGGGTGGGGATGATGAGCCTGCTTGAGGGGGAGCTGGTAGTCTTCTATGGAGACATAGGTAGTTAGAGTATTAAGATGATATATTTTGCAGTTGACAGCCTGGTGGTTGTGATACCTGGTGATGTCTTGAATGACATGAGGACCTGTCTTGGGCAGGCCAGCAGAGAACCTCAAGCCAAGAGACAGACAAGCATGGCTTATGATAAGAGCTTCCGTCGCGATAAGAGCTTTCCCTTGATTCTACCCAAGTACAAAGTGGAAGTGGAATGCTCCACCCCGTTATCAATCAGCCTTACCATCAAGGTCCTCACCTCGGCTTGAGTCGGCATTCTTGTCGTGAGATGTACCTCTTATCGCGGCTCATACGCCGTCTACCTAGTCTAGCAGGTGTGTGGTCGACGCATGATGTTGCCCTAGGTACTATTGTACTCAGTGGCTACAGTCTTCAATGTCGTCATTGCTCATCGAGGCTTTGCGGCGGCTGTGATCATGGGTTTTTTTTTTTTTTTTCTTTGGCGCGTCATGAGCACAACTAGGCCTTGAGGTCTTGAGCGACTCCCGTCCTGAGGGAGCTGTCTCGAGATGAGTGATGAGATGGAGGTAAGAGATAAGAGCTCCCTACGGTGACTGAAGAGCTCCCCTCCTTGTCTAATGTGTTTCCCGCCCGGAATCATCAGCCTTACGGTTCGCCCTATGATCATTCATTTCCAGTCATCACATCTCACCGTCACTGTCGACAAACAGCCTGACCCGTCCGCCCTGCGTGATGTCACACTACTCGTCTGCCTGCCTCCGGTGACGGGAGGGGCCATCCGGGTCTAGTGAGGGGAGGACCTAGAGGTAGGCAGACACCTTGCTTCGCCCGTACGTACTGAAACAGGCGAGACAAATTGTAACATTCCAGAAGCACGAGTCACAATCTGTAACCGCACACTAGACTAGTTGTAGAGAGGTGTAATGTGGTGTGGTGTGTACCCCCATCTTAGGTCAACAAGAGTTCAGCCCAGTTCGTCATCCGTCCCCTGAAAATGGAATGGCTTCCAGGTGGTGGGTAGGTGATTGGCACGGGAGGAAAAGGAAACATGGAAATTGACAACATGAATGGAAACCCCGCGTGCTCCTCGTCATTTTTGGATGAAGCAGCAGAACGAAGGAGCTACAAGAGAAGAAGTGGAAGCTGGGAAAGAAAGCTGGGCATCTGCAACGATTCCTCCTTGCCCACCGCTCCAACGTTACTTGGCGTAGTACTTGTAGGTAGGTGGTCACTGGACTGGACCAGTGATTCGGGACAGCTTCCACCTCCAGCTTCCAATCTTCCAACAAGAACGAAGGAACATCATCTTGCGAGCTTCTGCTTGATTCAGTTTTCCAAAGTGGAAGCTCCAACAACGAAACGACGAGGAACCAGTGTTCATCCAATCACAGCTCAATGATAAGAAAAGGCGGAGCCCCACGTGTCTGCATTCTTCCTGTGCAGTGCACCTGAAGAAAATGCGGGGTGGGCATTGATAGCAGCCAGGCCAACAGCTGAAGCTCGGCAGGGGCCCCGGGGGGGGGCGGTCATCGAGGGGCAGAGACCAGAGACCAGAGACACCATCAGTCATGAGATTGGATAAGAAAGTCAACAAGTGGCCAATGGGGCGGTGAGGAGTGCCTGATTATGTATAGATAGGCTGAAGACGGGTTTACCTGTCATATACCGGTGCCAAGGGATTGGAGAAAGTGCAGTGCAGTGGTGATACGACGGAAAGCGGTTTGAGGCGGATGTACAGTACCTTTGGTGGGGTAGCGGGGGTTTCTTTCATCTTCTCGAATGGAAAGCGAAGGGGAGATCTGGGAACAATGAACAGATGAAGTCCATTTCGGTGATGGGAGGACAGAGGACAGAGGGGAGCAAAGCAGATAGAGGTAAGATGGATTGGATGGATGAAAACACCAGCACGAAGGAAAGGAAGTCAGAATAAGCATTCATGAGGTGTATCCCCAGCTTCCCTTGTGAATCTCCACGGCGGGAGATCAGAGGTCAACAGCGCAGTAGCGTGTCACTGCACCTTCCTTCGTCGGGTCTCACTGCGAGCACTCTCCACTAACAAAAGCTTGGAATCACCACTTCTGACCCTTTGTGACCTTTTGGAGGGGTGTGAATGGTGGTTGCAGGGAAGCACAAGGGGAGGATGGGCCGATGACCAGTGGAACCCTATTCCTCCATCGATTCTTCCAGGTTGATCCAAGGATGGAAAGAGAAGCTCATGCGGATAATCCGAGACTTTCACGTCGTGTGTCTTTTGTTTCTGACATTCCGCCTCGGTCACGGATGATGAGATTGCTATCACGAAACAGAAATACACACACACCGCAAAAACACAAACACATCAGATCATGATTGGACCGATCACCGGCCCTTCTTTCAGTCGTGTTCCAAATTCATCCCACTCGAACAATTCAAGCAGCCAAGCCACTCTCCATCAAACGATGGGTTCAAAGGAAACACGCTCTATGTAGTGTACGCCCTCGATGCCTCGGGGGTAAACGGGGCCTCGGAGGCAACCGAATGGCCAATGCGCGGGCAATACGGATACAAGGTGGTGGTCGTGAAATGGGGACGTAGGGGGGAGGAAAAGCAACCATGTTCAGTTCAGACACAAGTGACCCGCCTGGATTATGGACTCGATGCTATTGTTAGAGGTACACATCTTTTGTCGGTATCGTATCTTTTGCGGTTCGTATCAGGTCACCTAGTCCCATCAAGATGGACCCCGCTACCTCATCATAGCTACCTCATACCTCTACACCCTACACCGCGCCAAATAGCTACACACTAGAAAAAGTCTAGACCCAAGGCAAACGCAGTGACATGTTCGGATGGGATCGGATGGTAACGTGAAAGTCACGGGCGGGCAGCACCATGTTGGTTTCCAGACCGCACCGCAGCATGGGCACACACTGCTGGCTGGCTGACTGCGCCGCAACCGTGAAGGGAAGCGAGCGAGTTTCCTTATCTTTGACCCGTTCCCGTCGCCAGGAACGCGCGCGTCCTTTTTTCTCTCTCACCTCTTCTATCTCTCCCTTCCATTCCGTTTTCTCTTTGTTCTCCATCACCACTCAGTCTTTGTGAACACGTTCAGCGTTGGGACGTGATTGTTTTTTTCGTCTTGCGACTGCGACTTGCGACTTGCGACTGCTGCTGCTGCTGCTACGTGCTAGCGAGGTGTTGGGACTTTTGCGACATCATACATACCATTACCATTACAGACCTAATACTTACACAACTCACACACCACAATGGTTCGTCACCGCCGCTATCAAAACCACCACTGCTTCTTCTTCTGGATTCCAGTTCAGACCTTGAAACCACACAATCGAGAACAAACAGGTTAACAGATGGCTTCACAACAGGCTACCAAGGAGTCCTTCGCGTCCAATGCGGCCATCTTGGCCAAGTTCCGCGATCTCGACCAGCACGGCAAGAGTGCGTTTATGTCCGCCTTTGTGGTGTTGTTATACCATACTAAACACTGACATTTGACGTCAAAATAGTCATGGCCGAGTACATCTGGATTGATTCTGAGGGTATTTATTTTTCCACCCGATTGTCAAAAGAAAAGAATGGCAAATTGACAGGCAATCTTTCAAACTTACAGGCAACACCCGCTCAAAGTCTCGCGTACGTCTCATCTTATCGCCACCCTGCTCGGGATCAGACCACCACCACCCATCTCCCGTCACCACCGCAGCAATTGGGATTTGCGCAATCACCAAGAGGAATTGACCAAAGGGGAAATCAACACTAACTTTTCCATTATGAACAGACGCTCGATGAAAAGCCAGAGGGCTACAAGCCCGAGGAGCTCCCCATCTGGAACTTTGACGGTAGCTCAACAGGCCAGGCTCCTGGTGACAACTCGGATGTTTACCTGTAAGTCATTATGCGCTTGATGATGATGAAACTGGCGTGTCAATCACTGACCACCACCATCACTTTACAGGAAGCCAGTCGCCGTCTACCCCGATCCTTTCCGCCCTCCCAACAGTAAGCCACCAGCCCATCTTGCAATTTGCACGTCGTCTTGTTGCTAACTGTACATGTAGACATTCTTGTCCTCGCCGAATGCTGGGATGCCGACGGTACCCCCAACAAGTACAACCACCGCCACGAGTGCGCCAAGCTCATGGAGCTTCACGCCAAGCACGAGCCTTGGTTCGGTCTCGAGCAAGAATACACCCTTCTCGATTTGAATGATCGTCCCTACGGCTGGCCTCAGAACGGTATGCCTTTCCCATCGGCTCATCCATGCCAATGTTCAGACACACACTAACAACATGCAGGCTACCCCGCCCCGCAAGGTCCTTACTACTGCGGCGTTGGCGCCGGCAAGGTGGTGATGCGCGACATTGTCGAAGCGCACTACCGCGCCTGCCTGTACTCCGGCATCAAGATCTCGGGTACCAACGCCGAAGTTATGCCTGCCCAATGGGAGTTTCAAGTCGGCCCCTGCGTCGGCATCGAGATGGGCGACCAGCTCTGGCTCGCCCGTTTCTTGTTGCACCGCGTAGCTGAGGAGTTCGCCGTCAAGGTGTCGCTCGATCCCAAGCCCATCCCTGGCGACTGGAACGGTGCCGGTCTACACAGCAACTTTTCGACAGTCGAAATGAGGAAGGAAGGTGGCATGAAGCAGATCGAGGCGGCCATCAAGAAGTTGGAGGGAAGGCACAAGGAGCATATTGCTGGTGAGTTTGCCCGATCATTGGAGTGGAATGTGTCGATGGTTAATGCAGGGAAACAGTCTACGGCGAAGGCAACGAGAAGCGCCTCACCGGTCGTCACGAGACGGGTGCCATCGACACCTTCACCTACGGCGTGGCCAACCGTGGCGCGTCCATCCGTATCCCTCGCGAGTGCGCCGCCAAGGGCTACGGTTACTTTGAGGATCGTCGTCCTGCTTCCAACGCGGATCCTTATCTCATTACTGGCATCATCAGTACGTTTTTCTCTCTTCTTACTACCCTCTTTCTGTCCTATACTTCACAGCCAGGTACTGACTTTATACTTCTCCACTTAGTGGAAACCTGCTTCGGCGCGGTTGACGATACGGTTGAGGCCTAGAAGGCGTGTCCCTCCAAGACAAGACAGTCAGACGTTCGAAGATATGAGAGGCAAGGAGAGTTACAGTTCCGGGATACAGCACGGACGGATGAAGATGGATGATATGAGGGCAATGATGGATCAGGGACGATGATGATGATGATTGAAACGAGAAGGAGAAGGATGACGACGATCCGTGGCTATGGGTGGCTTGGAGTCAATTGAACCTGCAATGCTTTATTGTCTTTAACAGCGTAGGTCTGGATGGATGGAATGGAGAACAAAGAAAGTTAAACTCATACAAGGTCGTTGACCGTTTGACAAATGGTTAACAACTTCAGCGGCACCCTGATACTGTAATGGACCAAGCACCACAAGGTTGAAGCCATGGCAAAGACAGACCAAATGTCGAGTTTTATAGCGACAGAAATGAACATGGAAGAGATACTTGATAGACGCAGATCGGCGATAATGCCGAGACGGGACGGGACCCCCACGCCCTCCCGCACCCGCCAGGGTTAACGGACCCCATAAAACCCCGGGAAGGATGACGCGAGATAGCGCCAGACTAACCCCGCATCGCACTACGGGGATGCCGCTGTCGCCGGGGTGTCTTCCGTCTTGAAGATTGGTAATCATTCGTCGTCCTTGAATTCCATTAACAATTCCGTGTCCGTCTCCGATTCAACTTCATCCAGTGAGCAACAACATTAACATCAACACAACACCACGGCCACACCAAAAACACCACAACAACCTCACAATGACGCTCATCAAATTCTCCTCCCTCGACAACGAAAGAAAAACGAACCCAACCCTCAAAGGCCACAAACTCGTCTTCATCACTCCCTGGGAACCAAACACAGACTACATCGACTCTCTCCAGAAACAGTTTCCCGACTTGGTCATCGAATGCCACAAATCCGAATGGAGGGCCCCCGGAACCGGAGCAGGGGAGTCTCCCTTCCCCATCGAACAGTGGAAAGACGTCACCATCGCCTTGACTTTTACCTATCTCCCGCAACCCAAAGATGCGCCCAAGCTGCAGTATGTCCAGCTAATCAGCGCCGGAGCGAACCATATCTTGGATCATCCGCTTTTCAAAGAGACCGAGGTCGAGTTTTGTACTGCTAATGGTGTTCATGGGTTTGTTTTTCCCTTTCCCCCCTTTTTCCCTTTTTTCCCTTTCTTTTCCCTTCTCCAACCCGTGACTACCCACTAACCAGACATGCGGTGCGGCGGGACAGCCCCCAAATCTCCGAATGGCTCCTCCTCACCTATCTTGCCTTCAACCACCACCTCCCCCACTACCTCTCCCTACAACAACAAGCCCACTGGTCCCGCGACAAGTCCGATTCCATCCAGGACGCCACCGCCAAAACCGTCGGTATCCTCGGCTACGGCGCCATCGGTAGGCAAACTGCCCGTCTCGCCGTCGCCATGGGCATGAACGTCCACGCTTTCACGTTGCACCCGCGCCCGACGCCCGAATCGCGCAAAGACCGAAGCTGGGCCCCCTCCGGGATGGGTGATCCGGAGGGTATCTTTCCCTCTAAATGGTTTTCTGGTTCCTCCAAAGAGGACCTACACACCTTTTTACGCAGCGGGTTAGATCTCCTGGTGGTTTCCACCCCTTTGACGCCAGGGACGAAGCACTTGTTGGGTAAAGAGGAGTTTGCACTTCTTTATGAGGCTTCTCCTACTGTTAAGGTTGTGGATGAAGAGACGGGAAAACTGGAGGAAAGGGGGAGGACGTTTGTTAGTAATATTGCGAGGGGCCCGGTGGTGGATACGGATGAACTGATTGAGGCGTTGGAAAAGGGGTGGATTAGAGGTGCGGCGCTGGATGTTACGGACCCGGAGCCACTGCCGGATGGACATAGGCTTTGGAAGACGAAAAACGTGATTGTTACGCCGCATGTGAGTGGGGCGAGTACGAGGTATAATGAAAGGGTGTTGGCGATTCTGGAGGAGAATCTGGGGAGGGTGGGGAGGGGGGAGAGGTTGGTTAATGGGGTTAGTAGGCGGGAGGGGTATTGATGCTGATGGAGAGGAGGGATAACTTAAAGGGGTGTTGGATGGTTCCTTTGCGAGGGAGTTGGACAGATGGGAGTTATGGAGGTGATGTTTGTTAGATCTTAGATGGCCGGCAGGAGAATATGAAAGAGGTTGTGGTCGTGACCGGTGGCTCCCGTCGCTACCTGGTGTTTGCGTGTGCTCGTGTGATTTTGCATGCAGGTAAACACTGACTCTTTTCAGGCAAAGAGAAAACAAGAAAGATCTGTGTTTGCTAGCCCAAGCAGTGCCCCTGTAACTTGAGATCTTCTGCGCGAATGTTGATCTGATCCAAGTCTGGCCTTGCCAAGGTATGCTCCTTCCATCCTTCGGTCCTTCTCTTTACCGCAAGTGCTAACCGTTTCACGGCCTTGCTGTCACCGGGAGTATAGCTCACCATAAGAAGAAGAATGATAGGATCGATGACTGCCCTGCCTGTTGTCTAACGTCGACTGCCACAGTCTTCATCGAGGGAGCTCACTCTTCACCACCCATCCCATGCATGCTCCTCCGTTCAACACTCAGCGCCCGCTCTTCACCGACTAAAGAGGTCGACGACTGTAACCAAGTCCAACTCTTTAAATGACGAGAAAACTTGCCGTCTATCCTCGCAAATGTGCTCTTCTTTCCATACCCTTACTGCCAAAAAGCATGTTCTTTCCTTTAAACTGGGGACACCTAGACGATTTCCTGCAGCCACCGCTCTTGGCTCTCGTCAACTTCAGACGGAGCATGTGGTAGTCCCGAAAACAGCTTTGGCACCTATAAGACGACTGGTTTCCGCGGGCGAGATGAACGATTTCTTTCGGTCCAGATCGGTACCGCTGTTTTATCCCCTTTGTCTTTTACTTCAAAGCCCACAAATCTACAGCGCTTCCTTCTCAGTCCCTTCCTTCTTCGAGCTTACAGGATACATCTACATCACGACATTACCGCTTTTCCATCTTCTTTTCCCTTCAAACCGACTACGCACCACTCGCGCGCTTCGCCAGCAACTTTTCCAAATGAACTCCATGGCGGAGCCACTTTCGAAGTACCAACCGTCTCTGAATTGGTATCGCTTCCGATTTGGGATGGTGCGCATTGCGCGCCAAACTCTAGGCCGAACTCTAGGCCGAACTCCTCATCCTCATGACCAAAAATGGCCGGCAACAGTAACGCCAGCATCAACAGCAACAACAACAGCTGGAACAGCAACAGCTGGAACAGCAACAGCTGGAACAGCAACAGCTGGAACAACAGCAGCTGGAACAACAGCAGCTGGAACAACAGCAGCTGGGACAACAGCAGCTGGGACAACAGCAGCTGCAACCAAACATCTACACCAGCTCAGTTTCGAGAACCAGCAGCTGCGGTGCTTCGGCATCTGCGGGCGACTTCTGGAAATCCTCTCGACTCATATTTTCCTAGAGCTCTCCTGATTCTGACGAGTGTCCTTCCTATACCTTCTCTTCTCCGAAGCAGTTTCTCACAAAGCGAGACTTTGTGGAGAGGTTATCATCAACATCGCTTCTTCAGCGCCATCAATGATCAAACCGGGCTTCGGGGACGACGGAGCCTGGAGCCCTCCTGATTCTGAAGGTCCCGATCTCGACACCTTGTCAGTGCTCTCAGATTTCTACCATCACCGGCGGACGACGAGATAGACTGGTCTTCAGACGAGAATTTTGAGAGTCTGGCTCATCAGCTCACGACGATCGGAGAGCCGCAAGTCCGACTTGGTGCCGGTGGAAGCTTCAAGGCTTTCCGAAGCAAAGGAGAAGACATGCCTTGTTGAGGAAATCAGGACATGGACCGGCTCCAGACGGCCAGGCCCCAATCCGACTCCCACAGAGCAGTGCCCAACCCGGGACCGGAAGGCCGCTGCTACAGATAGAATCTTTCCATGTGGCAGGCATGCGGAAAGTGCTGCATGACAGCAATGGAAAGTCAAGATCGACTTCGGCACGTAGAGGTAACGTGTCCGGTAGAAATTCTGCGCAAGAAGGTGCACTTCGCAGAGGGGACGAAACCCCCGATGCCAGACACTCTGAAGGGTCTTTCTCTATTAGCGACATTCTCCTTCAAGGTTCACCACTCTTCAAGAAAGCCAAGGCATGTGCCATAACTTACTGCTGGGTTGTGATATAGTCTCCATGATGTGTATATAAACCCAGGATCCCCCCGCCTTTGGAGCAGTCTTGTTTTCACCATCTTTATCCGCTCCGGGTTTCTTCTCACCATCCTTCGCTTCACCAAAATCTGTACCCTCCCACAAGCGGTTCCCACAAGCGGTTTCCACCAACAGCCCCACGACTTCCACTGACAGCTCCCAAATTATATGAGTCATCCGATCTGTCGTTCTGCTACTATCGCAGACACTATCGACACGATCATCGACGACATTGGATTCAAGATCTACGACACGATAAAGCATCTTGACATCTTTTATCCCGGGCGGATTATCGTCTGATCTTTGACGGCTTTGGCGGGTGCTGAATTACTGTGCGCTCCCCGCTACATCCTCGCCACCAGAACCAACTGAACCCTCCTGCTACTGCCATCTTTGGGGAAGAAGGAAGGATGAAAAACTCTGCTGATGCTGGGTACTTCCGTCAGATTGTTTTGGTTCCTCTTCTCTAAAAAGACTCTCTGGAGTATTCAACCTCTGCCAATCTACAGCCGACATGAGGCGACGACTACCACTAGGGCAAAGGCAGAACAAGCAGAACAAGCAGAACAAGCAGAATCCGCAGAACAAGCAGAACAAGCAGAACAAGCAGAACCCGCAAATCCACCAGTTCATCGACCCCAATGTAGAGAACGTCGAGTATCTCCTGGATATCAGAACGAGGGAAAGGCAGAGGCATGGCTTCCTGCATTCACTTCACCATGGCCAGATCCTATCGGTGCTGTGTGTCAATTGGTGTTGCTTGAGTTGGTAACAGGTTGTTTCGAATGTCTGACCGCAACCCGTCTCTGTACACTCAGAAGGCCTTTCGGTGCTGTCTGTCTCTCGGCGGTGGAGGAAGAGAGTCGAGTTGGTTTTGGCCTTATAATCGCAATTCGGCTCTGTAGACGTACACTTATAAGGCTTTTCGCGCTCGGAGTCAGGGTGCTCAAGAGTCTGGAGTACGAACTTGGGCTGCTCGCTCGGGTCAGCTTCGCCAAGTTACTTACCCATCAATCAAATGCCTTGAGGAGCTTCTTCGAGAGAAAGACCCTGGGCAGGGGCGCAGGCAGACAAGTGGTTCCAACTATCAAAGTTGTTCGACTCAGACAACAACTGAGAACACCACCTCGACCTATCGGCTTCAGTTTCCTAACAGTCTCAGTGGCGGCTTGCATCGTTCTCCTTGCTTGATGCTACGGGTCAGTCATGCTCTGCAAACCTCAAGGAAGGGAAGCAACTGTCCACAGAACTTCCCAAACTGATGAGAGAGGGGGTTTCTGCTGCCAACTTGATCACATGGGCATTCACCTGCCCTTATCGTACCTTTGGCCGCTGTCCGTCCCAGGGCCCATCTTCCAATGATGACCCGCGGTAGCGAAAGGGGTCCGCTCCCCTCTTTGCCTGGAGATCGTTCAACGCAAGAGGCACCACGCAGCTTTCACCTCACCATACTTCCAAGAAACTAACCCATGTCAAGTTCCCCGACAGCAGCGACCAGTGTAAACTAAGCAAACGCGATGTCTCACATAGCGTCGAACTCCCTGAACCAATCCGCTCACTACCGACTGTCACTCGCATGCGCGCCCGCTCCCATCCGCAGCGACCATTCAACGGCGGTCCTCACGGATGAGGCTGGCCATTTCGAGGTCCCGCAAGGACTGCTCGTTATGAGGGAGTTCACCCCCCTGCCTCGCCAGAGAGGTCTCCGTGTCAGCGGAGAAGACATATGGGCCTGGAATATCTCCCTCGGTGGGGCCGGCACGTGTCGACCCCAACGCGATATTGCCATATCTGCGAGTGTTAAAGTACATATGCAAATGTCTGGAAGATTCGCACCCAGTCGTCGGCATGGTAGCCGCCATACAACACGACGCCGTCCTGCTCAACGCGCCTCGGGAAGCGCGGCGGGCCTTGATGGTTCGGCCGTGTTGTACAACGATGGAGCGCGATGAACATGGTCGCGGAGATCGACTCGAGAACCATGATCATGTTCAGCTTTTTTGCTCGATGTTTCATTCCGGTCAGTTCCAGGTAGAACGAGGGCGTGTTGTTGACACCTGATACCAAAGAAACGCCGACATTGACGTACTAATCTTCATCTTGAGTGTTCACACAGCATGCTGCATGCCATATCGGAACCGGTTTCAGTTACGTCTGGAACCAAAACACCATCCTACAATACATGGGTCGACTGTACCGTATTGGTCAGAGGGGGGTGCCGCCATCCAAACCACTCAAGCACCTGAACAATTGTTGGAGCCCTGGGTTAAAGATGAAGCGTGGCATCCACGCCCTCTGCGACCGCCTTAGCATCGATCTTTGCTCGGGAGCCGTCTGAGCCGTCCGTGCGGAGGGTCGCCTACAGGTTTCGTTGTACGGCTTCAAAAACGTCACCCATCCGATCTGATGTTATATAAACCTTACAAAAACAACGATTTCATGTTCCGTCCCGTTGCGTCCATGTCGGATTCCTTGTTATTGTTGAGGGCCGTGACGGTGGTTACTCGAAGGGAATTGGAAGGGATGTTTGAAAGGCTTGGGTTGGGCAATTCCCCAAAATTGACGATGAGGAGCTTCACTGGTTGGTAAAGGCAGTAGAAGCGGTGTATGGGCTTTTGGACGTTATCCCCAAGTAGAATTCTAATTACCTAGGTCTCTGAGATTTCAGTCTACAGCTTCCACGCACACGAAGACGCATGGCTCAAACATCCCATGTTGACGACTCCGTCATGGAGTCCGTTCCTTGCGTCGTTCACTCTCGATCACCATCATCAACTTCATCAACATCATGGCATCCGAGTTAAGCATACCTCTATCTAGAGGTACCTGGATTGATACACGAAGCCCCCACCCAATTCAAGCAAACAATACAAGCAACACCAAGACTAACAGCCTTGGAAGTCCGTTTCCTCTCTCCTTCTTACCCCGTCCAGATGTTCTGGCATCATAGCTGTCTTCAAATCCAGACCATGGGCGAGGTCTCCAGGCGCGATGAGTTCCCGGACGTACGAATCACGACGGTGCCTTCATCACTAGAATGTATCCTTCTTCTCCGCGGCGTGATATTACATACTTCATCAATGAAGTGGTTCACGTCTGTGCCGCGTCGACCGGCTGGTATGGCCACGTCCGGGAGTGACGGTTTTGATAAATGGTTTGGATGATATGGTCAACGAAAAACGAGATGAAAAAGGGAAGATACCTTGCGACGACAAGCTGGGAAGTCGTCACTCGGGTCTGGAGATACCGGAGATTTGGTGACGGCGAGGTGCCCATTTCGTCTGATTCACGTGTGTTGATCGGTTGGGGCGTTCTTCCGTTATCGTCCTGCGGTGGGTCCCTGGATGTCGGTCTTGTCTGCCAGATGTTTTCGCATCGGAGTCTGAAGGGGACCGGTGAATTGGTGCCCTAGAGAGGGTGCTGGTGCCTTGGAGAGAGCTGGCCTTTGGAACGGCAACCATCCAAGGTTTAAAGACCACGAGAGACGAAGAGAAAGAACTCTCCTCGCTGATGACACTCGCATTGATCACTAGAGAGGTGCGGCGGCAGGGAGAGGGTAGGTGTCAAGGCTAACGGCATCCCTTCCGTTGAAAGGGGTGAATAGGGCCTTGTTCACGTCGGTATAGGTACCTTACTAAGTCCGTCGCTGTCGTCGTCCAAGGGATCTGCAAATCCTAGGTACTCTACCTCTACACTTTTGAGTTTGGTTTAACCCCTCTGGTCGCCGTTGTGCCTGGAGTGCTTTCGCCCAAAGGGCCGTCGTGATTGAGTTGACGGGGCTGACTTACGCTAGGCGGGCATTGAAGCGAATGTGTTGCGGCGTGGAGCGAATGAGGTGTGAACAAAAACGACAACAAAGTTCCTAACTATGTTGAAGAGAAAGGAATTTGGATGAGAGATTGGGCCAGGGGGGCGGGAGAGGGATCTTAAGGGGTAGCTTTCTGGGTGTCCCAACGGATCATGGCGTTTATGGCAGGCGCAGGGGCATTTGGCCAATGCGAAATAGTCGGCCGATGTATTGCAGAATCGTTGAAACATTCCACACAAAGGAAAGCCCAATGCTAAAGGCCATTGCCGGTGGGCATTCAGGCCGACTGCGCTGACGCTGGAATTTAACACCAGGATGTCGATATCCGTATGTGGGGAATTCCAAGCGGTGATGATGGCGGCCTGGTCCGTCTGTGGTTACTGGGACCGGATGGATCCATGGTGAATCAACCACAACGAGCACTCGTTTCTTTGCCAACTTCCATTCGAGGCACCGGGATATGATCCAGGTGAAGAGGCTCGACATGGAACATGGCCGCGGCCACAGTGCCCTTGTCGAAATTACAGACCAGTATCCCAAAGGGCAGCCAGAGCAGTTGGAGGTCCATCAAACACCATGGAATCCAATGCTTCCAGCTCAGAGAAAGGCTCCCTCTCCCGTCCAAACACCACCACAGCCCGACAACCCAAGCCTCACCGCCAAATATACCAAAGAAGTCGCCCATACCTCAAAGAATCACCGGGCCAAACGTGCAAGCCATGTACAATGACACGGCCCTGCGCAGCTGGAAGTACCAGAATCGCAAATAAGGAGCGCCCCATATCCTCCTATACGACTGCCCGTTCAAACACAACCGCCCCAAGACACTTCAGCGCCAATTTAGGTAACCCCGAAGTGCACGAGCAGGCCGACTCTCACTACATACATGGGGATGATGCGGCGGTCCAACGTCCCCTGCTCAGAGGGATTCCCTAGCGGCATTCGCAAAAAAATGGGAAACATACTGCGAAATGTACCCCGAAGCTGCATCAGTGCTAAAGCGTTCAGCTGCGGAGATGCGGCTAGTATCTGAGACCTGAGGTGCATGGAGCGGCTTCGTACCACTTCACCACCACGATACAGCCAGAAAAGAAACTCCAGCTCTAGCGAGCGATGCGGCTTTGATGAGCGTTCCTGATGGCAAGCGACAGCTGCTGTCAAAGGGTTATATTAACCTTTCCTCCGATCCGCTGCCCAAAGATAGGTAGCCTTCAAGGGGTCGAGTACAACTCTTGCTACCAGGTTTTTGCCAGAGAGGTGGAGACGGGATCTTCTCCATCAAGCATCCTCCTGTCTTAGCCGGGCAGCTGTACCTTACATGGAGTGGCAGCTCCCGGAGGGACGTCGAGGCTCTCAAGAAGAAGCTGATGGCTGCATTCAACATGGCAGATGAGTACCGCAGCGCCCTATGTCCTCACACACCTACCTCCAAGGTTCTGGGGTGAAGAAATGCCCTCCTCAACGGCGTTTTTGTCGAAAAGAAAGGTGCTTGGCCCTGGGGCTTGTAGGCAAGTCATTCCGGGAGGCAGACCATGGCGAGTACCGGAAACTTTTTGCTGAGAGCTTGATATGGTAGGTAGAATGCTAGAATAGGCACCTAGGTATAGAGATGATCAAGAACCAAAAAGGAGCGCCGCGTGGGGGGAGGGAATACAAGATGAGAAGCAGAAGCGCGGAGAGGATTTTTAATACCTACCTGTATGGAGATTACTGTAATGAGGTAATATGCGGCGAGGGGGAACACGAGAGTTGGTTTAAGTGAAAGATGTAGGGTACCTACCTAGTGGGCTGAGGCCAGGCCATGTAAGTAAGGCTGAGAGAAGCAAATGGTCGGGATTTAACAAACGGGAGTAAGATGTGAAAATAACGGTGTAAATGACGTGGAAGAAGAAATCAGACTTGAGACACCAATCTTCTCAATTAGAGTGATCATTCTGAATTGCCTTTTTCTTGTCAAATTGTTGTGTGATTTTGTACTGCAATTCCCGTTGCCGACGAGGCTGTAAGTTGATATCGGTGGTAGCGAGCTGGGATTATCGTGATAGTTGCTGCAGCAACCCCCCTGTAAATCAACAAACATGGCGATCGGCGTCGTCGTTCGGAACAGGCAGTTTTGCTTGGTGTGTGTATACCGATTATGGATGAAATATTCAGTTAAAAATTATTATCCAGGTATATTCGACGTCAGCGTCGTCCGGACCGCATTCCAAGAAGGTCCAGTGATGTGATACACCTGGTGGCAATCGTCATTGTTGTTCCTCCTTATTTGCTGCTGTTCCTTGGTTGGGACCAGACATGGCAGATGACAATGTGGATGACCAGGCCGCTCGATCTTGACTCAAAGACGCATTCGTTGGAGGTGCGGAATCTGAAAGCTGGCTTGAATCTATCTTTGGCGGAACGAAGATGTCAATGAGTGGAAATGGAGACAAGTGAGACATCCGCCCGAGTTGACCTCTAGCCTGGCCGTCAAAAGCAACCTAGTCCGGACTGTCCGGCTTGTCACGGCGGCAGGCAGGTGCCAAGCCGAGGGACGGCCCAGCCTCCAGTTCCAGGGGTGCACGGGCGGGTGTGTGCCCCAATTGGTTGCTGTGATGATTCTGGTGGTTCTGGCGGCTGGGCCAGTGAAGCATGGAACCCTGCTAGGTAAAGTGGAGACGGGAATCCCCGCGTGTGCCATGGCAGCATTTAGGGCGCTGTAACACTCTCCTTACAGTGGCTTCAGGTACCTCCAGGCCCCAACACGCCGTCACCTCATGTCCACTAACGGCCGCGATCCACAAATTCGATGACTTGGAATCCACTTTGACCACACAGAGTCA